GAAACAGGATGAGATACGTATTATCTGTGTTGTTTGGTCTGCTGATGAAATTGCACCAAGGGTGCCTTCGATGAGCCTACAGAAAATGGGTTTATAGCCCAGTTCTTTTGTAATGGTGGGGGGAATTGATCAGGCTATCACTGAGCAGTTGATTCCCCACCCCCATGTCAGTACAGTTGATGAAATCATAAAAGGAGAAGGTAACAGAGAAGAGATTTCTTTTTGATACCACCTTATGAAGTGTGAAAGAGTTCTTGGTGGAATTAGAAGAGTTTGTTTCTGATGGCCAAGGATAGGATACATCCCTGGTGGCCTTTAAAAAAACAAAATGAGATTTCTCTTGAGGGTGAGTCAACTCTGAGAAGTAACCCCTGACAGCAGAGAAAAGAGCTATAATTTCAAGTAAGAATTAGCCCAGGCATAGAGAAATAGAGCTACAGACATGAGTGGACCCACAGAGCCCAAATGAGTGACTTGTCCAGTAGAGATACTTTTCCCAGGCGGAGGCATCATGAAGACACCATGAGAAGAGGGAGAGTATCAGGGCCCTGGCAGTGCCAGAGAAGCATGAGCTGCCTTGGTCATATGTATTTAATACATGTCTGCTTCACCACTGTTATGCTTTATGTAAGCATCTAATCTATCCACTGATGCTTTGTGTGTTTGGTGAGAGTGTATGCCTGAGGATTATGGGAGGAATGAATGTTTTGTAGTTACTGATTTTTATGCCATCGTTGTAAATGATTTTTGCTTTGAGCTAGTTATGTCTACTGGCTTACTATTAGAGGTAAGCCACCCGTGGGGGCTTATGGGCTACGGTTTTAGGAATGCACTACAGAGTACCTTGAGCCTAGGGTACTGGTCAACCCTAGGGCCCAATCTGCAACCTGTAAAATGCTGAAGTAGTCCAGAGGACACACTACACTTGTATTCAACCATTTTAAAAAACCCAACAGTTATTTTATTCATCAGTGCAACAGACCATAAAACATTAAATATAAAATGATACTTTCAGGATAGTAACTGGTCCCAAGACCTCTTCTATCTGAAACCCACAGAAAAAGATGAGGAGACAATAATAATAACATTGCTCATTTCCCTGGTTGAAAATTTATAAAGTTCTTTGCTCACAATACCACCTCAAAGGAGGTCATGTGAGCATCATTACCTCTACTTTACAGATAAATAAACTGAGGCCCAGGGAAGGCGGTGGCCCAGGTCTCCTGGCTCTAAGTCTGAGGCCTTTTGCATAGAAAGGAGAGGGGGAAACCGTTGGAATTTGCCTCCCTACCCCTCTCTGTTGTGGTAGAGGACATCAAGAGACCTTTAGAAGCAAGTCAGCATTTGCCGAATGTAGGATCCTGTCCCTGTTTCTTTCTTAGGCTCTGTCTGTAGCTGTCTGTTTTTCTGTCTTTCTGTGTGTTTCTCTATGTATTTCCCTCTCTGTCTTCCCTTTCCCTTCCTCCATCTCACTTTTTCTGTTTCTTCCTCCCTCACAATCTGTTTCTTCCTCTCCCTGTGGCCATCTCTCTAGGTAGGAGATACCTCCCTCCACCTGCTCTTGGGAGCCTCTGACAGGTGATGGATGAGCCCTGTGTACACGCACACACACACACACACACTGTGGAAGGAGCTACAGATGCCAGATTCAGCCCCATCCATCTTCCCTGCCCCCCACCCCACCCCAGGTCAGCCAAAGAGCCTGGTCTTCTGGCTCCCTTGACCCCAGGGCCTGGGCTGGAGGGTGATGGGGCTTGAGAGGGTGACAGGGCAGGAGGGGGGGAGTTCTATATTTTCATTGGAAGTTGATGGAAATTAATGTCCTGCTCTCAAGCCCTTGGGCTGAGGAGGGAATACAGAGACAGAGAAAGAGGGCCCTTCTTAAAGGAATAAAGCTCTCTCCGTGGAGAGGAGACTCAGACACAGACACAGAGAGAAGGGGATGGAAAGAAAAACAGAGAAAAGGAGATAAACAAGCGGAGAGAGAGAGAAAGAGGGGGAAAGAAACACGGGAAGGGACAGAGAGACAAAGAAAGGTGCAGCAGAGAGAGAAAAAGAGAGGTAGAGAAACAGGAAAGGGGCGAGATGTGGAAAAGAGGCTGAATGTGCCCAGAGAGATGGGCAAAGAAGGAAAGAGAGGGTGAAGATGGAGAGATAGAAAGCAGAAATGGAGCTGAGACAGAGAGAGCTAGTGAGTGTGTGAATGTGTGTGTGTGTGCATGTGTGTGTAAGTATGTGTGTGTGTCTGTGCATGTGTATGTGTATGTGTGAGTATGTGTGTGTGTTTGAATTTCTGCACTTTACATTTATGCTGTGGGAGGGACAGGTGAGAAAGGTCATTGTCTCCAGGCCCCTGCCTCCCAGCACCAGCCCTCTGCCTCTCTCTGGGCCCTCGCTTGGTGATTTCTCACATTTCTTCAGGAAGGAACCCCCTCCCAACGATTTTGCAGAGACCCCTGCAGGAATTCCTGGCTGGGTAGAAGAAAGGGCACAGGGGACAGCAGTGAGAAGCCAGGGCTTAGTAGGGAGCCTGATTAGAGACCTTGGGAAATTATCAAGTTAGCACTCACAGTGGGGGTCAGTGCTCGGGCCAGAGAAGGACAGAGGCCAGCAGCTGTGCGCAGTGGGAGGTTTGGGGCCCGGGGTGAGGAGGAGGGGAGGTCCTTCCTTTCTCTCTCAGTGGGTCTCTTGTTTCAGCTTCTGTCTCTCTGTTTCTTGCTGCTTGCCTCCCCATCCCCCCAATCTCTTCCTGTCTCTTGGGAGAAGGTAGAAGCAAGCAAACACACAGATCACAGGTTCACGGCTTCGTACATGAAACGTGGAAAGGGTCCTTAGAGGTCATCTGGCTCAATCTTCTCATTTTACAGGTAGAAACTGAGGCCCAGAGAGATGACTTTCTCAAGGTCACATAGGTAGTGAGTGGCGAGATTCTAGCTCAAGTCTGGGGATGCCACCCATGTTCTTCTGTCTTTCCAAAGCAGGCAAGCTGGCAAACAGGCAGATAGACAGATAAGTAGGCAGACAGAAGAACAGGAAAGCAGACAGACAAACAGGCAGAAAGACAGAGAAGCAGACAGACAAATAGAAAGATAGGCAGACAAGAAAGAGGAAAGGAAGGAAGGCAGACAGATAAGCGGAAAGACAGAGATAGAGAGAGGGAGAGATAAACAGAGACAGACAGATAGATGGATACATAAATAGAGAGATAGAGAGACAGTAGGTAGATAAGCAGACAGAGACAAGCTGGCAAGGAAGGCACATGAGACAAACAAGTAGACAGACAGACAGGTGGGCAGGCAGGAGGGAAGGAAGGGTGAAGGCAGATAAGCAGACAGAGGGACAGGCAGTTAGATAAAGTCAGGCAGGCAGGCAGATAAGACAAACAGGCAGACAGTCAGACAGACAAGTAAGCAGGCAGGCAGGTTACATTTTATCCCAAACTGTTAAAGCTTTCCCTCACTTCTTCTCTTAAGGGGCTGTCTTGGTTTTCAGTCTGGGAGACAGCACCTGGGGCCTAGGTGATTCAGTCACCTGCTCCCTGTCCCTCCCCTCAATTCCCAGCAGAGTCCCCAGAGACCCCAAAGACAGAATTCTGAAATCTTCAAGCCAGAGGGCACCAACGCATCCGGAGCAGAAGTTCCCTCTACAATATCGCTGACAAGCAGTCTGCTCAGCCTCCGCTCGAAGTGTTCTCATGATGGGGAGCTCAGCACTGCCCATTCTACTTTGACATAGCTAATAGTTCAAAATTCTTACTTGTGTTGAGCCGGTCAGCCTCTCTGACAGCTGTCAATCACTGCGCCTGGCTCTGCCTTCAGGGTCCAAGCAGAACAAGAAGGTGTTGGGGCAGGGTCTATAGGAAGCCTTCATGTCTTCAACTCCCCACCTCCAAGAAACCTGGCCCTCCACCTACCCACTCACTGTCCCTGTCTGCATACACACACACCACACACCATACACACACACACACCCCCCCCACACGCACACACACACAACCACACATCACACACCATACACACACACCACACACGAACACACACACACACACACACACATCAGACCATACACACATGCTTCTCTCTCCTCCTCCTCCTCGTCCTCCTCCTCTTCCTTTTCCTCCTCCTCCTCTCTCTTCTCTCTCTCTCTCTCTCTCTCTCTCTCTCTCTCTCTCCTTTCACTCTCTCTCCTCCTCCTCTTCCCTTTCTTTCTCTTCTCTCTTCTCTCTCTCCTTCCTTTTTCTCTCCTCTCCTGTTCCCCACATACTTCTAAACCCTGAATCACACACAAAGATACAGACATACAGATGCCCAAAGGAACATGCTAGCCTTTGCTGAACATCAGGGCACTGGAGACATTCTAATTTCACCTAAGGGGAAAAGGACTCAGAGTGGTGACAAAATGACTCCCTATATATGTCTCACAAAGTAGAGAAGAGAGAAACAGACACAGAAATGAATACATCATGAAAGAGAGATGGTAAATAAACAGATTGAAAGATAGAGGATACAAAGAGAAATAGATGGATGGAGGGAGAAAGAAAAAGACAAGAGGATAGGGAAAATAGGTACAGTAAGACAGAGAATGAAAGAGATGAATCAAAAGAGGGTGAGGCAGGGAGCCAAGGACGAAAGAGAGAGAAAGGGAGAGAGAGAGAAGGAGAAGGAGGAGGAGAGGGAGAGAGAGAGAGAGAGAGAGAGAGAGAGAGAGAGAGAGAGAGAGAGAGAGAGAGAGAGAAGAGGAGAGAAGGAGAGGGAGAGAGAGGGAGAGAGAGAGAAAGAGAAAGAAGGGGAGAGGAGAGGGAGAGAGAGGGAGAGAGAGAGAAAGAAGAGAAGGGCAGACGAAGGGAGAGGAGGGGAGAGAGACTACTAAGGAAGAGGGCAAGAGAGTCACAGAAGACACAGAAAGACAAGGGTTGAACCTCGGGGGTGGGGTGGGGAGGGGGCGGAGGAGCAGGCGGGGACCAAGAGGCCTCTTTTCCCTCTCAGCAGCCCCAGCCCCAAGCCTGCCCTGGCCCCTCTGGCTTCAGCTCTGGCCCCTCCAGCAGCCGGCGGACAGTGGGTTAAGGATTGGGTGATGTGGGAACTTCCGGATATGATCACAGAGAGAGAGAGGAGGGAGACAGAGGGAGACAGAGAGACACACACACACACACACACACACACAGAGGCAGACAGCTGAGCATCCACTCAGCTGCTTACCAGCCCCCACACCAGGGACCCAGGGGCCCAGCCCAGCCCAGCCCCTTGCCAGTGGGGCCAGGTCTCCCCACACTGGTCCCTTCCTCTCAGCTTTCCTTCCTCTCCCTCCCTCCCTCTCTGATCTCTGTCTTTCTTTCTTTCATTCTTTCTGTCTCTCCCTGAATCTTTTTCTCTCTTTCACTGTCTTACTGGATTCACTGAGGCTCCAGTTCTGGGGTACCGAGGGGTGGCTGGGGCTCAAGGGAGCCTTTCCTCCCCCATCCTGGGGTCCAGATCCACTCCCCAACTCTCTCCACCAGCCTGGGATGCCCCTGGAGCCAGGGCACTGACCCCTGGGGGCTGGGCTGGAGGCTGTGCTCTGGGGTACTCATGACAGAACACTACGCCTACCACTGAGCAGAAAGAGGGGGCCCTGGGTTGTGGGGGGAACCTGGGGGGCAACCCGTGTCCCCACTCACCCTCCACAGCCCAGCCCCCAGGCCTGGATCTGGCGAGGGACAGACATTGGAGCTGCCTGACGTGGGCCCCAGTTCTGGGGGCCCATGGCACAGAGAGTAAGTATGGATGCATGTCCCCAGTCAGCCAGCATCACTGAGATCTTATCCTTCGTCCCTATCCACTCAGTCTCCATTTCTCCAGCTCTCCAGCTCCTTTTCCCACTCTCTGATCCACATCCTCCTATCTCCAGCCCTCATTCCCTCCATCTCTCTCTGTTCCTAATTTCTGCCTCTCCAGTTCTTAACTATCTCTACCCCCATCATTCTGTCCTCCATCCCTGTTCCCTATTCCACGGTTCCCCCTTCTCTATGTCTCCTGTTCTAATGTTCCCCTGTCTCTGCCTTTATGTCCCCCCACCTCTCCTCCCTATCCCTCTATCTCCCATCCTTGTCTCTCTAGCTCTGTCTCACATCTGTCCTCATCTTCCTGTCCCTTATCCCTCTTTTTCTCCATCCCACTGTCCCCACCTCCTGTCACTCATTGAAATGTTGCCTGCTTCTACTGTTCTCCCTTCTTTCTATCCTCTACCCCTCTGTCCCCATCCCTCTGACTATCAATTACTTTATCCCCCCATCTTTGGCTAATTTCATGCCATACTCATTCCCTAATCCTCCACCCTCTTCATACTTTTTTCCCATCTTTTTTCCATCCCTCTAACTCCCCATCCTTTCTCTCCAGATCTCTCATTTCTCTGCCCCAATCCTTCTCTATCTGATCCCTTCTCTCTGTCTCTACCCCCCTGCCCTCATCCCCCTTCTCTCCAGTTCCACCTCTGTGCCTATGCTTAGGTCCCCACCCCTCTTCCTCTCCACCCCATCCTTCAGGTCTTTCAACTCTTTCCTAGCCCCTTTTGCTCATTTATCGCCTCTATCCATGTTTCTCTATTTTTGTCTCAAATCTCTGTGCTCATTATTTCCCCCCATTCTTCTGTTCCTATCTTTCCATCCTGGTGAAGTGTCTCTGTTCTCATCATTCTATTCCCAGTATCTCTGTCCCCACTTGACTATGTCCCTATTCTTCTACTCCATCTATCTCCCCACTCTCTATCTTCACCCTCCTCTTTTTTCAGGCTCTGTCCCCTATCCCAGCTATCTCTTCAGCTGTCTTACATCTTTCTATCCTCATCTCTCCTTTCCCCCATCCTTCTTTCCACCCACCCTCTGTATTCCTGTCTCTCCATTTTTCCTATCTCTGTTCCACATACCTCTGTTTTCCATCTCTGTCTTCCATCTCTTCTTCCTCTGTCTCTGTCTCACATCTCTATCTTCATCCAATCTCTCTCCCCTTCCCTCTCTCTCCCTTCCCAATGTTCACTCATCCCTAAGCTTTCCCTCTGTCCTCCCACTCATGCCTCATCCCTCTTTCCTTCCAAACTATCCTCCTGTCTCTCAATCAATCCCTCTTTCTCTCCATATTTGTCTGCTGTTTCTGTCTCTCCATCTCTCTCACATATCTCTCTATCTCTTGTTCCCCATCTCTCCATTTTTCTGTATCTACTCCCTCTGTCCCTTATCCCTCTGTCCCCTATCTATCTGTCCCATCATCGTGTGTTCCAAACTGTCCAAATCTCTTTCCCTCAACCTCCTGTTGAACTGTCACTCATACTTCTGTCCCTATCTATCCCTTTCTCTGTCCCTATCTCTCTGTTCCTCATTTGTGTTTTTCATCTCTGTCCCCATTGGTCTATCTGTCCTACTTTTTGTCACCCACCTGCTTTCTCCCATTCGCTTCAGTCCTTATACCTTCATTCCCATCCCTCTTTCCTCATCTTGGTCTCTCTCTCTGTCCTGCTCCTATCCTTCAGTCCTACATCCTTCTTGTCCCCCATCACTCCATCTCTTATCTGTCTTTCCTTTTATCTGTCCCTTCATGCCTCTATCCTCCATCCCTGTTTCTCTCATCCTTCAGTCCTCGTCCCTCTGTCCCTCTTTGCTCTTTCTCTCCATGTCTCTCTGCCTCCATTCCTCTTTCCCTCCATCTCTGTCCCTGTCCTTCATCTATCTGTCCATTATTTTTCTGTCCCCTATCCCTTTGTTCCCATTCCTCTATCCTAATCCCTTTATCACCATCTCTCTACTTCATTTTCTGTCCCCTATTTCTCTTTCCTTCCAATCTTCCTTCTTAAAGTCTCTTTCCTTCCATCAATTTATTACTTCATCCATCTGTTTCACATTTATCTTTCCTTGCTTCTCTCCATCTCTCTGTCCCAGTCACTCTATTCCCATCCTTCTGGTTACCCATTCCTGTTCCCCATTCTTCTTTTCCTCCAACCTTCATTCTATCCAACTCTCTGCTCTCCAATCCTTCTTTTGACATCCCTACCCCCCTCTATCCACTTGTCCATTAAGCATCCCATATCTCTCTGTCCTCATTCCTCTGGGCCCCACTTATTTGTCCTTCTACCTCCAGCCCCCATCCTTCTTCACTCACTGACTGTTGCCCCTATCCATTTGAACTCCATATCTGTTCCTCATCCTTCTGATCCCCGTCTATCCCATTTCCCTCTATCACTTTATCCCATGGTCCCTAGCCCTTTCTTCCTTCCTTTTCCCTATCTTTTTTCATACTTTTCTCTTTTCCTTTCCTCATTTCCTTTTATCTTCTTTTACATTATCCCTCTGTCTCCCCCATCTGATGTCCCTCCAGTTTTCTGGTTCTGCCCCCTTCCTTGTCCCCTACTCAACCTCTCTATACCTCATCTCCCTGCCCCATCCCTCTTCTGTTCCCCATCTCACTGTCTTCATTTTTCTCTCATCCCTCTTCTTCAACCGTTTCTCAGCTCTGTCCCCTATCCCTCTGTACCTTATTTCTCTGTTCCTAAACCCTCTGCCTCCATCCTTTTGTCTACCATTTCTCTGTCCCTACTCCCTATTCCTACCTTCTCTGTCCCCCATGTCTCTGTTCCAATTCCCTTGATCCCTCTAATATCTATCCATCTATCCTTCCCTCTGTTACTTCCTTCCATCCTAACTCTGTCCTCATCCTTCTGTCCCTCTGTCCCATCATCCCTCTATCCTCATTACATGCCCCCACCCCCTGACCCATCTCTTTGTTCCATTCTTGTCCCTGATTTTGAAGAGGGGGAGGTAAGGAACAGGAAGAAGAGTTCAGGCTGAGCCCTGGGACATCTAGAGGAGGAAGAGGAAAAGGGTGAGCAGGTCGGCTCCCTGGAGATGAGTGTCAGTCAATGTTCTCTCCAAGTCCCCAGGCTCTGCCCCTCTCATCCTGTGAGATGAGAGGGGGCAAACAGAGCTTCTAGACACTGTCCCCCAGCTAAATAGTTGGGGTGGGAGTTCTAAGTTGAGATAGACTCCTTGAGGACCCCCAGTGTCAGAGGAAAAGTTTGGAGCAGAAGTATGTGTGCATGTGTGTGTGTTTTGTGTTTAAAAGAAAGAGCATAATATGTCTGTGTGTTTGGGAGTGTTTCCCAGGCTCTGTGGACCAGAACATGGGGTAGGGGGAGGTGCAAATAAATTTGACTTTATTTGGATTATGTTCTGTAAATGGAGAAGGAGCTTAACTAAAGTTGTTTGGGACACACATACAGTCTGCTAAATAGAACTGAGATGAAGAGGGCAGAGGAAAAGTCTCTATCTTCCCCCTCCCCCCAACACACATATGCAGAAGAATATGTAATAAGAAAAATGCACCTCAGACCTCACACACTAGGGAACACATTCAGAACCCAGATGTTTATCCCATACACCTGTCTCTGGAGGCTTGCTGATATTGTACTTCCTACGTGTGAGTGTGTGTGTGAGTGTGTGTGTGTGTGTGTGTGTGTGTGTGTGTGTGTGTGTGTGTGTGTGTGTGTGTGTCTGGGTCAGGGGATTCCTGGGCTTGGGGATTCCAAACTCAGACTGATTGATCCCTCCTGAACCATCCCCAAGGGATAATGAATCAATCTCTGACTATGAATGCTTTGAAAAGAAGGAAAGGATGGAAGGGCACAGAGCTACAGATAGAGACAGAAAGGGACAAGGTTAGCTCCACAGAGAAAGACAGTGACTAAGCAGAGGCAGAGAGAGAGATATAGAGAGAAAAACAGGAACACCTCCATGGCGACAGAGGCAGTAGCTCAGAGACAGCTCCAGAGACAGAGAGACAGAGACAGCCCTGAGCCGATAGAGACAGGGATAGGGCAGAAACACAGCACCAGAGGCAGAGACAGACATGGAAATGCAGAGATAGAGACAAAACTACAGCTACACAGAGACAGACTGAAGGAGATAGACACCCAGATACAGAGACGAAGACCTCTACACCAGGGACAGAGATATTGATAGAGACAGAGACACAGAACCAGAGACAGTGATAGAAAGCAATAGAAAAGACGGAGATCCTGACGTAGAGGCTCACCCAGCGCAGAGAGAGAAGGGATTTGGTGTGGCCGGAGCAAATGAGAAAACTCTCCGATGTTTCCTTCTTCCCCTCCCCAAGTCCCATTGAGAAGCAAGAGATGTTTGAATTTGTGAGAGAGGGGGAACAGGGAGGCGTCCGGGCACTCTAACGCCTGGGTCCGGGACAACCTCTCTGATCCTCTCTTTTCATCTCTCCCGTCTCACAGTACGATGAGCTGCCTCAGTACCCCGGCTTGGACAGCGCAGGCCTGGCCAACTTCTCGGAAGCCGCGCCCCGAGGGAGCGGGCGGGCAGCGGCGCTGCCCCAGGCCCCCTACGGCCCCGCCCCGCCCCCGGGGCCGGCCCGGAGCCGAGCCAGAGGAGGAGACGGACTGAAGAGCGAGAAAGACGAGATTTACGGGTGAGGAAAGGCAGCTGAGTCCCTGCCTCGATGGGTCCCCTGTGTCTGCGTGCGTCACTCTCCTCCAGGCAGTCCGTCTGTGTGGCTCCCCCTCCCTCCCTGTCTCTCTGCTCCTCCTGCCTCAAGGGGGGACCTCAGCCTAATTTAGGAGCACCCTTCCCCTCAGCCCTGCCTGTTGAGCCCCAGGGTGGGACCTGAGCCCCACCTCTCCCGGTCCCGCAGGCACCCACTGTTCCCGCTTCTGGCTCTGGTTTTTGAGAAGTGTGAGCTGGCCACGTGCTCCCCTAGGGATGGGGCCGGCCCGGGGCCTGGGGGCAGCCCGGGCTTGGGGCCTGGGGCCGATGTCTGCTCCTCCGACTCCTTCAACGAGGACATAGCCGCCTTCGCCAAGCAGGTGGGGCCCCTCCGCCGGGACCCACTGGGCGGGGGGCTGGGGAGGGGTGTCTGAGGAACGCCCTGGGGACTGGGGGCTGGGAGGGCGAAGCAACCCTTGACGTGGGCTCTGTGCTTCCCCCTCCTCCGTCTCCTCCCATTCTCTCTCGATGTCCCGTCTCAGGTCCGCATGGAGAGGCCTCTGTTCTCCTCCAACCCAGAGCTGGACAACCTGGTGAGAGCCTAGCGCAGCCGCTCTAAGTAACCCCAAAGCTTTGGTTTCCCCCAGACACCAGGCCTAGCCTGAGAGGGAGCCCCTCCTTCCAATAACCCTGGGGGGAGGGGCTAGGAAGAAAGTCACTGGGCATCTTCACTGTCTTTCCTCTGCCTCTTGGGGTCCTCATCTCCCAACCCTGTTCCAGGTCTCTCTCTACATCTCCCCATCTCTGTCTCTGTATGTCTGTCTCCATGACACACACTCTCTCTCCCTTCCTTCTCTTTTCCCGTCTGCCTCTCTGTCTCTTCATCTTCTGGCCCGTCTTGCTCTCCCTGTTCCTGTCTCTCTGCCCCGCGTCTGTGTCTGTCTGTGTCTCTGTCTCTCCTCTCAGATGATACAGGCCATCCAGGTACTTCGGTTTCATCTGCTGGAGCTGGAGAAGGTGAGTGCTTGTCTTCTCCCCTGCCCCTTCCCAGCTGCTCACTCCCCAGCTTACCTTTATTCCTGCCACCCCCACTCCCACCAGGTACATGACCTGTGTGACAACTTCTGCCATCGGTATATCACCTGCCTCAAGGGGAAGATGCCCATCGATCTGGTCATTGAGGACCGAGACCGAGATGGTGATGACTCCATCATCCCCTGCAAAGCTGACCTGGATGACTTCCCAACCCCTGGCCCTGGGCTCCCCCACCAGGTGCTGCCTCCCCCCTCCACAGGCACATGCATGCACACGTGCGCACACACACACACACACACACACACACACACACTTAGATATGGCCACATACACCCAGAGGCACACAACATACTTAGGAAAAAGTCACGAAGAAATACATCCGCTCAGACACACATCCAGAGAGGTATGCAGTACGGTAAAATACAGCCACTCTCTCACACATACTCAAATACAGGGACACACTCATGTAACAGCCACATAGTCACAGAAGATCACACACCTAGATGCCCTCAGATCCACTTGGTCACACATTCAAACAAGCTGTACTCATTCCTCATACAGTCATGTTCGGAGACGAATATATAAGTCTAGTTGGGGAGAGGCAGGGATTGTGGGTAGCTGGGAGATCCCAGGCAAGGGCTGTGGGGATGTCTAAACCCACCCTGTGTCTTCCTACACCTTGGTGGGGGATCCGTAATCCCTAAACCCCACACCAACCATTCTCTTTTCCCCTCAGAACAATTCCTGGGTTCGGGACCACAGTGACAGTGGATCTGTGCACCTGGGGACACCAGGTCCATCCAGTGGAGGCATGGCCTCCCAGAGTGGGGACAACTCCAGTGAGCATGGTAAGGATGGGGCATGGAATCAACCAAGGAAGATCCTTGTGGAGTGGACAGGGTTGGGCTTCCCAAGGATTCCCAAGGAGGCCCCAGAATCCAGCATCCCTCTCCCCGTCAGGAGATGGGCTGGAGACCAGAGCAGCCTCCCCCAGCTCTGGGCCCGAAGATGATGAGCCTGATCATGACCACAGGCAGAGTAAGAAGCGGGGAATCTTCCCCAAGGTGGCCACCAACATCATGAGGGCCTGGCTTTTCCAGCACCTGGCGGTGAGCCCCCACCCCTAGCACCTGCTCCCAGGGAAGGCATTGGACACATTTAGCCCAACCCACCATGAATCTGTCAAGTGGATCCCCCCCATAATCTCTCTCACATACACCCCAAAGATACTCTGTAGGCCTCAGGTACTCCCAGGCCTAGCCCAGCCTTAGACCCTTCCTGGAGTCCCTAGCACCACCAGGTTTGGCTCAAGGGAAAGAAAGGCCTTTAATCCCTTCCTCTACTGGAATGTAAAGATATCTGGGAGGCCCTGAAGTTGGCCACTGCCTTCTCTTTCTCTCTTTTTGTGGGGAGGACTCCTGGTCCACCTCCACCCTCTGTATTGCCCCCAGCACCCCTATCCCTCTGAGGAGCAAAAGAAGCAGCTGGCCCAGGACACAGGTCTCACTATCCTACAGGTCAACAACTGGTGAGAAGCTCCTGAGGGGGGAAGAAGGGGGAGGGGGCTGGACAGGGGTGCCCAAGGCCTCCCCCTCCCTCTGCCTCTATCTCTATCCCTGTCCCTCCTCATTGCCTCCCTCTCTGCCCAGCCCTTGCCTGGCTCAGCTAGCCCTGACCTGGGCACCTGTGTCTCTCTCTGTATGACCCCGTCTGTGTCTCCCTGTCTCTCTCTGTCTCCCCTGTCTGTTGGTGTCTCTGTGTCTTCTCCCACAGGTTCATTAATGCCAGGAGGCGGATTGTGCAGCCCATGATTGACCAGTCCAACAGGGCAGGTGTGTGCATGCATGTCCGTCCGTGTGTGTGTGTGTGTGTGTGTGTGTGTGTGTGTGTGTGTGTGTGTGTGTGTGAATAGGACTTGGAGCAGGAAAGGGACCTTAGAGACCATTTAGTCCAGCCTCCTTATTTGACAGAGAGGGAAACTGAGTCCTAAGAGGTGGGTGAAGAGGCAGAGCTGGAATGTGACCCCAGCTCCTCACCCTCTCCTCTTCTTCTGCTGGACTACAAAGCCTGTCTAGTCACTGCTGGGGTGGGTGGGCATGTCCTAAGGGAGACCCCTCCCATGGATGGTGTCCTATCCCCCTCACAGGCCCTGGCACAGCCTACAGCCCTGAGCATGGCCCAGCCCTGGGGGCCTTTGGCCCAGACCAGAGTCCAGGCCCTGGGCCCCCCATGAGGACCACCGGTAAGCCCTGCCCCCAATCCAGGCTCCTCCTGTTCCCAGACTACAGAGATCTCCCCATCCACTCAGAGCCTCCCTTGGGGGCCCAGGACTCGTGAATAATGCATAAGTTTCCTTTGCATGCAGAAGCCCACTCTATCCCAGTCCCACCCACTGTCCCTTCTTAAAGGCCCCACACCTCCTTACAGGGGGTGGGTGTGGGGGAGGGCCTCCTTCCCCCATCTCTCATCCCCAGGGTCCATGGGCATGAGTGTGAGCCTGGACAGGCAGTGGCACTACATGTAGGGGCATCTGCAGCCTCACCCACTGACGGTGAGTGTTCTCCACAAATACCCATCCCCCTGGGTCTCCTTGTATACCCAGCCCTGGCAGCAGCAAAGGAGGAGGAGAAGGAGGGGCAGCCCCCTGGGAAAGAACTCTCCTGGGCACTGTCCGCACTCGAGGGAGCCCAGACTAGGGTGTGGGGAGGGTCTGTGGAGATGAGTCTGCAAGGAAGAAGCTGGGGCTGCTCCTCGGTGGAGACTGGCTCCTAGCAGCCCAACACATCCCCCAGGCTGCCTGGCTCCTTCCCTGCCTGCCTCTGTCTCCCTCTCTTCTGCTGTCCTGCTCTCTTACTCTCCCTCTCAGTCTCGCCTTCTGCATCTCTCTTTATATGCCTCTGTCCCTCGGCTTCTCCTTCTGTCTCTCTCTCCTGTGTCTCTTTCCAGCCCTTCCTCTTCTTTTTCTCCCTCTTTCTTTCTCCCCTTCCCTGCGTCTGTCTTTCAGTTCTTCTGTCTTCGTGTCTCTTCACTTTCTTTTGCTGTCTCTCCCCTGAGTCTCTCCCTCTCTTTCTCTGTGCCTGGTGTTTCTATGCCCTAGTAGTGGGGAAGCCAACAGGATGTGGACGGAGATCTGGGGGTCCCCGAAGCCCCTCTCCATCCCTTGACCCTCTGCAAACCAATTCTTTCTCCAAAGCCAGGACTCCTTCTCCGTGGATGTGGAGGGTCCTGCGAGCTGAGCCCCCCACACACACCTGGGGCTCCCAGCCAGGGCCCTGCCTGATGCGGCCGGGCCTGATGCCCTCCCACCTCAACACCTACCTCCCCGGGCTCCCCGGGCTCCTGGGCTGGGACTCGCTGCACACTGAGCTATCCATCCCTCAATGATGATGATGAGAACACGCCCACTCCATCCTGCAGGCTCCTCAGAAACTCTGGGCTCCTTCCCTGCTTTTCCCTGAGTCCCAGGCCCCCTCGTGCCCCACCCTGGGAGCACCAAGGCCAAGGATGGGGGGGGGAAGTTGAGGAGCCGGGGGAAATGGTCCAGGCCCCTTCCTCCAGGCCTGGGCAGGAGGGGTCTTGGGACACAGACGGGGCAGGGTTCCTGGGGTTTTTCCCTGTCTTCCCTCGCTCTGCCTCATTCTCTTTAGTCTGCCTCTGTCTCTTTCTCAGCCTTTTTTTTTTAAAACGATAAAATCTTAAAAAACAAATCTTCCGCTCCAGCCTCTTTCCCTCCTTCAGTCCAAACCCGTATTTGTCTCTCTGTTAACAATGAAGATCAGACTGGAGGAGGAAGGGGGCAGGTGGCCCCTGGGGAGGGGGCTGAGGGAGGAGGCGATAATGGGGCAGAATGCCTCTGGCCCATCGGCTGCCTCTGTTTCTGCTGCTCATCTCTACCTCACACCCGCATCTTTCTTTGGGTCTCACCCTCCTTTCTCTGTCTCTGTCTTTGTCTAGCTAGCCAGGGTTGAGGTTTCCAGCCCTCCCAAACACTTTGCATATAGCATGGAAAGAGTCTAGGGAGGGGCCTGGGAAGTCAGGAGGACCCCAGAGAGGCTCAACTGGGTCCCCCTTAGAAGAGGATGTGTGGGAGGCCCGGATCAGGGGAGAGGGTGATAAAGGAGGTCAGCCCCCACCCTTCTTCCCTTTATCAGCTTCTCAGCTGGAGCTGAGGGAGGGGGGAGAAGGTGGGAGCAGAATGTCAGAGCAGGAAGTACCCTTAAGAACCATTTAATGACCCATCCCCTTCATTAGACAAATAAGGAAACTGAGGCTCAGAGCAGGAGATATTTACCTGAGGTCAAACAGCAAATCAGAGGGTTTAGTCCCTGCCAGGGCTCTGTCCACCATTCTCCTATGGGTCCCCCCTTGAATCAGTAAGGTTTCTCTTAGGAGTTAGTCTTGGATCTTTTCTAGGAAGAGAAACTGAGGCAGATACAAAAGTTAGGTGTGGAGGGGGGATCCTTCTGTTCTGGCTCTTAGCCCCGACTTCACGGAGAAATGAATGAATAGATGAATGAAAAAAAATTATTAAGCACCTACCATGTGCTTAAACTGTGTGTGATGCTGGAGATACCAATACAAAAGTCCCTCCTCTCCAGGAGACAACGCTGAAAAGGGAGAGGGATGGTGGGAAGGGCACTGGGTCTGAGCAGGGCTGGGGTCGAAGAAGACCAGGCCCCTATCTGCATCACAGTGCCCAGAACAAAAGAGGAAAGGGAGCACGTGGCAAAGTGTCTGGGGCTGTCCTGGTGGGAAATATGGGCTGGGGTCAGTGAAATAGAGTGGGGTGAAAGAGTTGGCATGCCATTGGCTCATCAACTAGGAGCAGCTTGACTATGTGTGTGGGTGTGGGTGTGTGTAAGACAGACAGAGAGAGAGAGAGAGAGAGAGAGATAAGCAGAGACAGACACAGACACAGACCTGAAAAAGCCTCCTTGAGGCTGGACATTAGGAAACTCTTGCCACCATGAGAGCTGTCCAACAATGAAATGGGTCACCTTGGGAGGGGGTGAGCTCCTGACATCAGAGTCCAAGCACAGGGCCACCCAAGTCCCTTCCAACCCTAACATTCTGTGATTGATTGGCTTCTAACATTTCTTTTAGTTTGGACAAGCTCTGATTCTGATTGTGTGGGTCTGTTTACAAGATGTGTCTGTGATACGGAATGGAAGGGAGCCTGAACCTAGAACCCAAGTCACCTGGGTTCTAGACTTGGCCATTTCTCTGCTTTTCTACATGACCTTGGCCAAGTCCCTGCCCCTCAATTTGTCTGTAAAGCAGGGACAATAATCCCAGTCTCCCTTCCTGCTAAAGCTGGTGGTGGTGAAGAGCTGATACGAACCTGTGTGCACACACATGTGCATGTACAGACGCCAACCTTTGTACTAACCACCAAGGCCAGAAGATAGCCTCAGGACACACACACACACACACACACACACACACACACACACACACACACACCCCACACCCCCCCCACAACAGAAACAGCCTTGCCCATGACTTCACGTGTGACCTTGGGCAGAGGCCCAACGCATATCTAGCTAATGAAGAATTCCTCTGTAACATCTCTGATATGGAACTACTAGGCCACCGCTTAATGACCCCCAGGAAGGACAAGTCCACTGCCTCTCCCCTCCTCCCAGCAGCCCATTCTGGCTTCAGATTGCTCTGTTAGGAAAATCTTTCCATCCAGCCTCCATCAGCCTCCTCAGACGTGCACTCATCATTCTAGTTCTGCCCTCTGGAGTGAGGCTCATCCTTCTTCCATGGGATAGCCCTGCCTGGTGCCCTCTGAGCATTCTCTTCTCCAGACTAAGCATGCCCACCCAGTTCCTTTAATGAGCCTTTCTCCCTCCTGGTTCCGCTCCTTGGAATGCTCTCTGGATCACTGACCCTCTTCCAGAGTCCCTGGAGCTGAGCACCACCCTCCAGATGGGGTCAGACCTGAGGAGTTCAGGATTGTTGCCTCTCTCATTCAGAATGTCATGCCCATCATGCCCAGATATTATCATGCAGCTCAGGATGCCTTTGGCTTTTTTGGCTAATACATTATGCCATTGACTCCCATTGAGCTTGCAATCCTTCCCTCCCCCCTTAGCCTCAGTTTCTTCTTCTGTAAAATGAGGGGGTTGGAGTAGGGGGCCTCCAAGGGCTCTTCCAGCTTTGATGAGCTAGATTCAAGTCATGGATGTCATTTCCTGCTTGTTTGACATTAGGCAAGACTAGACCCATCTTGGGACCTCCTCAGGGTAAGGGTGGTCTAGGTGGGACCTCTGAGGCTCCTTCCAGCTCCAAAGGTCTGATTGTAGGCTGGTATCTTCCTTCCACCTCGGGCTGCCTCCAGGTGGCAGCCCTCCGAGCCCTCTCATTCTGGTCTTCCCGCCCCTGTCCCATACGGGTTCCACCCCCCATGCTGGAAGAGCTCCCTGCATATCTGAGGACACTGCGTAGAAGTCACTGGAGCCGTCTCTCCTCCACGTTCAGTACATGACCAACCCGTCTTTGCCAGTCACACATTTCTCTTAAGTGGGTCTTCATTACTCGTGGGATGCCTGCTCACACCCACCAGGCACCTCTCCAATGGCCTTGGAGGCATCTTCCACTTGAATTCACTAAGGTCTGTGGAAGTCATATGTCATCCCTGGTTTTTTAGTCATGTCTGACTCTTCACGACCCTGTTTGGAGTTTTCTTGGCAGAGATACTGGAATGATTTGCCATTTCCTTCTACAGCTCATTTTACAGATGAGGAAACTGAAGCAAACAGGGTTAATTGACTTGTCCAGGGTCACCCAGTTAGGAAATGTCTGAAGCCAGGTTTGAACTTAGGAAGGTGAATCTTCTTGACCCCAGCCTGGCGCTCTGTCCACTGCACCACCTAGCTGCATTAGTCCCTGGAATAATGTGGTGTTGTTTTTTTCTAAATGGGCCTTTATTTTAGGGAGAAACTTGGGTCACTAAAAACTCTGGACACATTCCCAAAGATAATTCAATCTTATTTCCTCCTCTGGAATTCAATTCTGGGTTTGGCCGTTAGCCACAATCAGCATCGTCTAAGAGATAAGATTAGAAAGTTAAGCTCTATGTAGGTTGTTTTTCCATCTGCCTATGGATAAAGTTTGATTTTTTTTTTTTGGTGAGGCAATTGGGGTTAAGTGACTTGCCCAGGGTCACACAGCTAGTAAGTGTTAAGTGTTTGGTCTGAGGCCGGATTTGAACTCAGGTCCTCCTGACTCCAGGGCCACTGCTCTATCCACTGTGCCACCTAGCTGTCCCTGGATGAAGCTTGATTACAAAATTCCATGAAGCCAGAGATTCTATGATTCAAAACTTTTAAAATGGCTATGAAGCATTTCCATGAGTCTATTAATTCTGCAATCCTATGATTCTATGAATTCTATGATCTTATGCTTCTTTGAATTCTGAGATCATATGATTCTGTGAATTCTGCAATTGTGTGATTCTAAGAATTCTGAGATCATACAAGGTCAGAGAGATTCTATGACTTGGCAAAGCTATGATTTTATGAAGTCTGAAATCCTTTGATTCTCCTGAGATTCTATGATTCTAAAATTTAAAAATGGCTATGAAGTATTTCCATGATTGCATTAATTCTGCAATCCTACAATCCCATGATCCTCTGATTCCATGAATTCTGAGATCATATGATTATACGAATTCTGAGATTGCAAGATTCTGTGAATTCTGAGATCGTACAAAGTCAGAGAGATTCTATGATTTGGCAAATCTATGATTTTATGAAGTCTGAAATCCTTTGATTCTGTGATACGATCACTTTAGAATTCTAGGTTTTTAAGATGCTAATACTGAGGACTCTATGATTCCATCAATTCTGAAATTCTAGGAATCCAAGATTCTATGGTCTGAAATGTGATTCTTTTCTTCTCTTCTTTCTTTCTTTCTCCTTCTTTCTTTCTTCCTTTCTTTCTCCTTCTTTCTTTCTTTCTTTCTCTTCTTTTCCATTTCTTTCTTTCTCCTTCTTTCTTTCTTTCTTTCTTTCTTTCTTTCTTTCTTTCTTTCTTTCTTTCTTTCTTTCTTTCTTTCTTTCTTTCTTTCTTTCTTTCTTTCTTTCTTTCTTTCTCGATCTATGATTTCGTTGCTCAAGGTTATTTCCCCTGTCAAACTCCTTCCACCAGTACGGGTAAGCAACACCTCCACAGCTCACTATGGGCATGTCTAAATTGGAGAATAGAAGAGTCATGGAGGAAATGATAGCTGTATCCAAGTATCCAACAGCAATGAATAGAAGTTTTGAGGAGGGAAATTTGAGTTGGATGTCAGGAAAAGCTTCCTAATCTTTAGAGATGTCCACAAGTGGCATGGACTGCTTCCAGAGGTCATAGGGGCATACGTTTATAGCCAGAAGGGACCTTCAAAACCATGGGGTCCAACACACTCATTTTACAGATAAGGAAACTGAGGCATAGAGAGGTTATGTGACTTGCCTATGGTCATACAGCTAGCAGTGGTCACAGGTGAGATCTGATCCCACATCTTCCTGACTCCAAGGTCAATGCCCTCTATGGGGGAACGTTCCCACATTCATCTGGATGACCATTTGTGAGTATGTTAGAGTAGGCATTTCTTTTATGTATATTTCGAACTAAATGATTGCTAGTTCAATTCTGCATTTATATAGCATGAGAAAATTGCCTGGGACTCTGAGAGGTAATGATTTACTCAGGATCACATAAGTGTCCCAGGTAAGACTTGAACCCAGGTTTAGTGGACTCCAAAACCCACTAGGCAGCAATGCCCCAATGAAATTCCAATTCAAAGATTCCACTATTCTACAAAATGTGAGACTCTTTGATGTTAAAATTCTGTGATTCTGAGACCATAATTTTTGAAATTCTCTGTTTTTAAGAGACTGTGGCTTCCTAATTCTATGAAGTCTGAGATTCTGTGGTTCTGAGATGCTATCGATGTTGCCCATCCTAAACATAGACGGAAGGCAGCCACATAGGTGGTGGGATGGGGTCCGGCCGACAGCAGTGAGGATTTCCCAATCCAGCCTAAGCCTCCCTGAGGTATCAGGCTACCTAGCTCCCAGCCTCTGGGGGTTGGATACTTGGAGCC